ACCATTTGACACATATCCTCGAACCTCACGATGTAAGGCATAAGGTCTCACGACATGAGCCAGGTCTATTGACTCAATACCCAAATTTTTTAGTATTTAATGGAATGAGAGGACTAGGATCTCCCATCCTCAACCTCTCACTTTCTCTATCCCCCTAAAAACCCTAACTTCAATCTCCTTGATACATTGGGTTGTTATTGGTCATTTTGAAGAACTTACTTGGAGGTTTTTCTCTCTTTGAAGTGGAAGAAGGCTCTTGTGGTGCTTCGTTTTGGAAAGCTAGATTCTACCTCCTGGATGTTCAAAGATTGTGAGAATTTGTAAGTCATAAAGCTTTTATATTTTCTAAGAATGCTAGATCTAAGCTTTGGAACCTGTCTTTGCATGGTTGGGTTGTTAAATTAATTTAGTGATCTAAAAAGACTAATTAAATATAGACTCTTATATATATATATATATATATATATATATATATATATATATATGTAAGTATGACTATGTTCCATGTAATTATCCGCACGATATCTAGAACGGTGGACCGCATGGCGGTCCCATATCTAAAGGATAGGTTATTGATAAGATCAGAGTTCAACAGCGTCTTTGAGAGTTACGATTGCTAATCGGATTGTATTTACATTTGTAGTTACGAGACTTATCCAAGTAGGAGACTGTTGGACTATTGTCTAAGCTCCTAACTATATTTGGTAAGTATTTGTCCCGGTTGTGCATGGTCCTTTTGGGTTGCCTTCACCAAAGAAACGTGATAGGATGATTTATGAATAAAGAGGTTATTATAATTTATTAATATGTTATATGAGTAATATATCAAAGGAGAAATCATATGTTGTGATTAATATTAGACAAGAATTAATTAAGATTTAATTCTATTGCTAAAAGAGATTAATTAAATAAAAGGGATTGGAACTGTCAATTGTGTGATAGTTGATTTGGACTGAAAATCCTTCACGATTAGGGGGAGGATGAAATTTAAGGTGGGAACGATCTAAATTTCATGGAAGGCCTTATTCTAGAAGATTCTTTAGACTGTTTAAGGCCTAAGCTATCCAATTAGGGTTTTGACTGAAACCCTAGCAACACAAGTATAAATAGACCGCTTAGGGTTCAGAAATCGGCTAACCCTTCTTCTAAGAGTGCAAGAGCCGAATTTCATAGCCTCTAACCTCTCTCCAAGAACATCCTCTTGCTTGTCGTGTTTGTAAGCCATTAGAGGAGTGACATATGTGACTCTAACCTCCAAGGACAAGACGATTCAAGCTTTCAAGAAGAGGTAATCATCTAGATCTATTTTGTTATGTCAATTTCGAATTATATAGACTAGATCTAGGGTTTGCAAGTCTTGGATGAATTGCATGTACAATAGAGAAGCCTAGATCCAAGCATTAGGGTTTTCATGAGCACATACAATGTTATTTTGTGTAAAACCCATCAGATCCTTGGTAGTGGATAACGATTCTTGACCGTCAGCTTGTTCAACTCCTGGTAGTCGATGCACGTCCGGTGTGAACCATCCTTTTTCTTGAAAAAAAGGATCGGCGCTCTCCACGGTGAGCTAGTTGGACTAATAAAACCCTTCCCCAGGAGCTCCTGGAGCTACGAGGATAACTCCTACATCTCTGGCAGCGCGAGGCATTAACGTGCCTTGTCAATAAGCGCCGCACCGAGAATCAAATCGATCCGGAACTCCACTTGTCTCTCTGGAGGCACACCCGACAATTCCTCGGGGAAAACATCCAGGAACTCACACACAATTGGAACATTGGAGATAGAACTCAGCCTCTCAGTGGCAACTCTTGTATCCATCACATATGCTAAAAAGCCCATGCATCTTTGCTGAAAAATCTGCCTCGCCCTGGCGGCAGAGCAGAAAGTTGATCCAGATCTGGTCCCCTCGCCATACACAGTAAGTACTCCCCCACTAGGGTCTCTTATGGTTACCATCTGACGCTCACAGTCAATTATAGCTCTAAACCGACTCAACAAATCCATGCCCACTATGACCAACAGACATCACTCATCGCTATTGGCACCAGATCTATCGGGAACTCAACATCGAAAATCTCTAATAAACATCCCCAGAATACATCAGTGGCAAAAACCGCATGCTTTTTGGCTATACAAACCCTCAGTGGTTGACTCAACACCTCGCGTCTGACACTAAAGTGACGACTAAAGGATGAAGACACGAAAGATCGACTTGCACCCGAGTCAAATAACACTAAAGGAGGCACATAACTCATAAGAAAAGTACCTATATACAACACAATATAAGCAAAAAGAAATCTAAAAATAGCATAAATATGGAGATACATACCATAAAAAACATCAGTGTAGAGTCCCAAATCCAAGGATCCAAACCAGTAATCAATCAAACAAACAAGAATGGAGTAGAGAAAAGGATTAGTCAAGAAATGCACATGTTTATTGCATTAAAATGTTAGATACATCTTAAGCACACACACAAGACCGTGAAGAGACTCTAACAATGTCTCTAGTCTACCTTAACTCTGACACATTATGACACTATATATAGGAACTGACTGGCTGTAAACAAGGTTCACGACCGAATACGCGTTCACGGTCGTACACCCGTTCACGGCCGTGAACGCCTTTACAACCGCAAACAACACCAAGACACACATTAAAAGACCAAGAGCCTATTAATACCTATACAAATAGTTTCCTAGCCCAAACCATATAATTAGGTCCTAACAGTCTCCCCCTTGGTTTGGAAGTAGCATGTACTCAGGTCTTCTTGAACATCATCACGTCTGATTTTCCCATAGCCCCCATCCATAGCCTCTTTTCAATAATCTTAGCAACCATACTTGTGAACTCTTTGGCAATTGGCTCCATGATCTCCATTTTGTGATAATTTGATGTCTAGCCAAGGTGTGTATATCTTGCTCCCTGAACCGCAAAAGATCTTTAGCATGAACAAGACGAAGAACACTATCGATATCTGAGAACTTGATTGCTATTGTGGCTGTGGCCTCATCGAAAGCCCAAAATTCCATACGGTCTAGATATCCTTCATGAGAATGTTGAGGAATCGGAATTTCTTTCAACAACTTAGTGGGAGGCTACAACACTATCTGATGGGTTTTAGAAAAAAAAATAACATCCTATGTGCTCATACAAATCCTAATGCTTGGAATCCTATGTGCTCATACACACCCTAATGCTTGGATCTAGGATTCTCTATTGTACATGCTATTCATCCAAGACTTGCAAACCCTAGATATAGTGTATATAATTTGAAATTAACATAACAAAACAGATCTAGATGATTACCTCTTCTTGAAAGCTTGAATCTCCTTGTCCATGGAGCTTAGAGTCACAAATGTCACTCCTCTAATCGCTTACAAACACCACAAGAAAGAGGATGATATTGGAGAGAGATTGGAGGTTATATAATTTGGCTCTAGTACTCTCAGAAGTAGGGTAGCCGGTTTTTGAAGCCTAAGGGGTCTATATATACTTGTGTTGCTAGGGCTCAGTCAAAATCCTAATTGGATAGCTTAGGTTTTAAGCAGTCCACAGAACCTTCTAGAAAAAAGGCCTTAGACAAAATTTAGATGGGCTCCCACTCAAATTTCGTCCATCCCTTAATTCTAAAGGATTCTCATCCCAAATCAACTATCACACAATTGACAGTTCCAGTCCCCTTTATTTAATTAATCTCTTTTAGCCACATAATTAATTCTTAATTAATTCTTGTCTAATATTAATTAATCTATATGATTTCTCTTTCAATATATTATTCATATAACATATTAATAAATCATAATAAAGTATTTATTCATAAATCATCCTATCATGCTGCTTTGGTGAAGGCAACCCAAAAGGACCATGCACAAGCGGGTCAAATACTTACCAAATATAGTTACGGGCTTAGGCACTAATTCAAAAGTCTCCCACTTGGATAAGTCTAGTAACTATAAATGAAAACACACTCCGATTAGCCATCGTAGCTCTCATAGACGCTGTCAGACTCTGATTTCATCAATAACCTGTCCTTCAGATAAGGGATTGTATAATCCTCTGTTCTAGATATTGTTCAGAAAAATACATGGAACAAAATCATACTTATTGTCCAGCAGTTTGTTTCTTGATCTCAGATTCGGTTTGACATAGAACTTAACTGAACACATCAATTCAGTCCTGACCAGGCCTGGCACATAAGTCAAACCAAATCATCGAGGGGCCCTGATATCGCTTTTTTCCTCTTAGAATAAAAGGAACAGATAAACTTCGACTTATATGCATTTACCATTCACTAATGAAATCATACACAACAATGTGTTTTATAACATCAAGTTACTGATGCGTTTACGAATTATCAATGCACATCCAAATAGCAAACAATAAACCTTATATCTAGGTTTTAAGACTATATGATATTATCATCTTGCGATCACTTGTGATTAATTCCATGAAGTGATTCCAGCAAGCGTGGGTTTATTCCAATGCTCAAATCAAATTCATAAGCACTCATGAACGTTGTAGCAAACCTTTGCTATGTCTAATACAATTTAGACAATCTACACACCAGTTCATGACAATCTTCATTCATATCACTACTAGAAAAACAGCCTTTTACGACGCTCATTGCGCGTCGTAAAAGGCTTAGACGACGCGCGAATGCGCGTCAAGGAAGGCCCTGTCATAAAGAGAGACGATGCGCATTTATGACGCGCGTTTACAACACGCAATGCGTATCAAGGAAGGCATTGTCATAAAGGAAGACAACATGCATTCGCGTGTCGTAACCTTATGAGGCGCGTGTTAATGACATGTAATGTGTATCAAGAAAACCCCTGTCAAGAAAGGTCATGTCATAAATGAAGATGACACACATTTTTGCGTATCATAATTTTAAATGTTTAAAAAAATATTATTTATAGATTTACTTATTTTCAAATTAAATTTATATTTAATGTTTCATAATAGAAAATAAAATATCATATTCAAAAAATAGAATCCATTGCATAAATTTAGTGTCATACAATTATATTTCTTACAATATATAAATTTGCATCGAATCTACTATGTACATCAAATTCCAACTAACTAAAGTTGCATCTTGCCTTTCATAATTCTTTAAGACTAATGCTCCAAACTGCTAATTATATAGATAAGCAATTGTACATTGGGCCATCTCAGTTAATAATGACTTAGCCAAATTCAACTCCAAGTCTTTACTGCATCTTGTTGATAATGCTGCAAGATTTAAATCAAATTCAACTCCAAGTCTGTACTTAATAATCAAAATCCCAAGGGCAACATCGATTGTAGAGGCAAGTTCATTTAAAAAAACATAGTATTTATAATGATAAGGATGTGGAGGGTATACTGTAAAAACTCAGACATGGCTATAATGGAGATAACAGGGATAGCTATATATACCTTAAACAAATTAGCTTCCAGATCAGATTGAGAGCTGCAAAAAACTAATATATGTTAAGGTAGTATTTGGAGTATGTAATATGATGACATACACATCCAGAAAGCTATTATCTATGAGCTTGACCAACACCAAAGGAATTATTGGTAGAAATAATGTTACTATTTGTAGGGTTGATAGGGATAATGTCTCCTCATTTTGTTCATGTACTGAAGCTCCCTGTTGAATATGTTATGTTTTTCTATGCATATGGGAACATGGGGGAGGCGTCCTATAGGGGTAGATTTGTCATTTGACATACCGGTGACTGAACTAGGGGTGAAGACAAAGCATTTTCATGAAGAAAAAATTTCATATGAATTCCTTCTACATAGGGCATTTAAGTCATCTAACTTGACTAAGTTGACATGGTTTCTAATTAAAACTAGTTTCTAGATGATGAATGGAATATAAATTCAAGTAGGGTTTTGAAGTTTGAACAACATATATGTTGTTACCTTAACGAGGTCAGGTAGACCAATGATAACAAGATCTTCAAGTGCTTCTACTTTGTCTAATGATAAGGTGTTGTATAACATATCAATATCCTCAAACTCATCAAAATCCTCCTGCAGATGAAATGGTTTGTGGTGGTTTTTGATGCTTTGTGAAAAGTGCAAACAACAAGAATCTTTTATCATGAATTTGACAAGGTGGCATAGAGGAGAGAACCTCAAAGAAACTATTGAGAAAATGTGAAAGGGTAAAAAAGTATATGATGACCTGATTTCGTTCCACATAGTCATCAATGAAGTCCTTAACATCATTGACTTGTTCCTCCAGAAATAGGAGGCATACCAAGAAGAGTGCTGCTTCCTTGTTGTACTTGTTGGAATCTGGTGCTATTTCAGTTCTTCTGCGGAATTGTCCCTATTAAAAAAAACTATTTTAGTTAATGTAGATACAATGTATAGTATAGCAATATATATAGCATACCCCTTCATGTTGAGTTTGGAAGCAACTACCAGGTCTCCACTGAATGCTAGGAACACCAGAAGGTGAAAAGAATCTTGTGCCCATGCCACCACCCTCACCACCATTTCCATTATCACCATCAATAATTTTGACACCACTTTGTGGCAACATCATTCTGCTACTCAAAGATGAAACAGGAGGATGCTACTGAACCATTCCCTCATCTGTCCCTAACATAGGCCTCTTAGCCATTTCAGAAGCTTGACCAACACCAAGGGCGTTATTGGTAGAAATAATGTTACTATTCGTAGGGTTGATAAGGACAGTAACTGAAGATTGACTTGTCAAACTGGTCAAACTGCCCCTCCTGAGATTCCTTAATCCGGATTCACTAAAGGAAGGAGATGATTTACAAACAGGGAATCCTCCGACTTCTTCTTCCTTGTTTATAGGTGAGGAAGGGATGGTGGAGACTGAGACTGAATTGTCTAAAACGCCCCTCACCGGACTTGGACTTGGAGGGACTGAAAAATGAAACAAAGTAAATCAATATCTCACCATTTTCCCATAGTATAAATAACTAATTCTAGGGCTAAACACAACAAAGTACATGGATTTAATAGAAAGAGATGAAATAGGATGTTGTAAAACACGTGTAAAAGAAAGTATGCTGTTGTTTCTTGCATTTAACAATAAATAACAAGTGTAATAAAAACTAAAAAGTAACCATCTGTAGCTCTAGGGGCAGGAGTACTCCTTCGCAAAACTGTAGGTCAAGTTGGCTTCCACAACAATAAAGTTGTGAGTCACTTCATTTCTCTTTTTCTTTCTGATTTAAAAAAAACGCATCAAATATGGACTGTAAAGTTTAAAAACAATATTAAACTCCAAATTTTATAATTATGTAACAAGTATAAGTAAAAAATAGAGGATTGATTACCTTATTGTGGGTTGCAGAACCACCGTATTGAAGTTGTTACCTTAGCATTTAAAGAATATTTGGCCAGCTATAACACAACTTATCACCATGTCTCTGCAAAAACAAAATCCCCGAAACGAAAGAACATGAATATTGAACCATGAAACAAAGTAAAGCACATACTCCATTCATCCCACTAAATTGGAGGATTATAAACTCTCGGGTAAATTACAAAAAGTAAAAAATGGTACATGTGGGATAGTAAATGATAGATTTACCCCCCTTTTTCCCTTTGTTTTTTATACACACCATTCGTAATGATTCCAGTGGAGTTATATTTTATGATTATGATAAAAATAATATTACAAATAAAAAACAAGAGGGTAAATAGATTATTTTATGATGTTAACGCACAAACAGTTAGAATTAACGACCCACGGACCAAAACCGCAACAAATTGAAACCATGTAACAAAATCTATAATTGGGTTATGTAAAAAAAGTTAATTGATATCGGGCATCTTTAAATTGGAACCAAAAGAGTTTATATGGTAAAGATGATATACCAAATACACACACACACTTGAACCTTTAAAAGAAATTTGTATTAACAGTACATACCTGCTAAGTAGGAAGATGCTTCCCCCTGTAATTAAATATTACATCCTTCTCACTTATGTCACCACTATTGCTAGTTTGAAGTTCCACCTGATTAATAACATCTAAAATACTTAGATATCATATTATAAATCAAAGAATAACATCTAAAGTGTCATATTATAAATCAAAGAATAACTTCTAAAATATCATGTGTTTAGATGTTACTTACCTCATTTGGCAAAAAAACGATTGGTTGCTGATCAGAATCAGAGCCAACATCAAGAACAATTGATGTAAACTCTCATCCTCCTCCAAGAAAATTTTCAACTATAACCTTATCATCAATCCCCTTACAAGTTTAAGAAATAAAATCATATCCATAAACTTAAGGGAACAAGTTTTAAATTAAAGAGCACTGAAAGAGAAACCATTGTGTAAAAGAAGGCAAGCACCTCTGACATAATTTCTCTAACTTTGGTTAACGAATCATCAACAGCATAGGAAACTGTAACTCTAATACTTGATCCTGCTCCTATTGGTTTTACCTGAAACCATGTCAGTAAACAAATAATGATCTCTTGTACGTTCACTTGGTCTTGTATACATCAAGTGATGTTATAAGGTATGATTTATATGATATTGCGCTTTCAAGCATTTCATCAAACACTTGGAGTACATAGCTCCTCTCCTTCCTTTTCTGGCCCATTTATTGGAAATATCACCAATTTGAGAGCATCAAGACTAGAACAGCCCAAAAGGCTGAGCCTTTTCAAATGTGTGTGTTTTTATAAAGAACTCAGTTTACCTTAAATTTGTAGCAGTTAGAGAAAGGAAAAAAGAATATGAAGGTTCATCACCAATTCATTTCACCTCACATTTTGAATATTTATACATCAAATGATCATAAGAATTATCAAAAGTTCCAATTCAAAACAAATTTTCCAAGGGTAAAAATGTCAGAATATAATGGTGAAAAGGGTAAATCTGGACGTTGGAGTAATTGGAGATTTTTTCTTTGTGGTGAAAACATAAAAATATGGATATCTGGCATACCTAACACAAGTTTAACTAACCATGGACTTACTTGCTTCACATTTTGCAAGAGATCGGATTCATCCCTTTCAAGGGTAAAATGTCAGAATATAGTAAAGTACATATAATAGAAGATACAGTTCCCATGAACCAGCTTATACATGCTGAATCCTCTGTTTCAAATGGCTAAATTAGGGTTAAATTTGGATAAATTGGGAAAAAAAGCTAGATGCAAATGAGTTCTCTTAAATATTTAATTAGGGTTAAATTTGGAACCTATTCTTAGTTACGAGAGCTATGGTTCCCAGGTAGAAGTATAAGATAACGAAATCAACAATAATATTGTAAACTAAGTATATGATGTATTTTTATACCTCAAGAATGGAATCAACAAGAATACGCACAAGACATCAACTAAGTATATGATGTATTTTTACGAGGTGCGTCTTTAACAACTTAGAGGGAAAAAGCAGTCGAGAAAAGAGGATAGTCTCAGTCATTGACCTCCATATTGTTGCAGAGCTCCAAAAATACAAAAAGGGAGAAAGAGTGATAGCAGCAAAATGTTATCACCGATTCTTTCGAATTTCAGTATTTCACCTCTAGAAGTGATCTCCGTGTAAACCCCACGTAATTCCTCTTTTGTGTCTCTCTTTCCATTCTGTTCTATTATGTGAGCGTACCCCTTGATCCCGTTGAAGAACTTGAGACGTTTATGACGAAGGTACATAAGAATATTCTTGACCACGATCCAATGTGCATTACAAGGGTTCCCTTGATATCTTCTGACCATGGTCAAAGCAAAGGACACTTCAGGATGAGTACAATTCATAGCATACATGATTGAGCCAAATGCGGAAGCGTAACGTACTCGACTCATCTCTGCTATCTCGACTTCGGTACTCGGACTTTGAGTCTTACTCAACTTGGCTTTACTTTGGATTGGTAACTCCCCTTTCTTGGGATTCTCCATACTAAAATGTTTTAGTACCTTCTCCAAGTAAGTATTCTGACTAAGTCATATTAGTCTTTTACTCCTGTTTTTCACTATCCTTATTCCCAAAATATAGGCAGTCTCTCTGAGGTCCGTCATAGCGAAGCACTTCCCAAGTCAGGACTTTACTTCCTGCAGCATCGGGATGTCGTTTCCTATGAGTAGTATGTCATCGACATACAATACGAGGAAGCTTACTATACTCCCACTAGCTTTGACATATACACATGATTCATCTTTGCTTCGCAGAAAACCAAACTCTTTGACTTTCTCATCGAAGCAAAGATTCGATCTGCGAGACGCTTGCTTAAGTCCATAAATGGACTTCTCAAGTTTGCACACTCTATTGGGATGTTTCATATTAACAAAACCCTTTAGTTGAGCCATGTAAACATCCTCATCCAACTTCCCATTAAGGAAAGCGGTTTTGACATCCATTTGCCATATTTCATAATCATGAAATGCAGCAATGGCCAGCATCACCCTAATTGACTTTATCTTCACAACTAGTGAGAACGTCTCATCATAGTCAACTCCGGGAGTTTAAGTAAAGCCCTTCGCAACCAATCGCGCTTTATAAGTGTGCACATTCCTACCCATGTCGGTATTCTTCTTGAAGATCCATTTGCACCCGACCGTCTTACTACCTGGTACATGATCAACCAAATTCCAAACTTGGTTTTCATACATGGACTGAGTCTCGCTGTCCGTCGCCTCTTTCCTCTTTGTAGACTTTGGGGATGCCATGGCTTCCCTATAGTTGTTAGGTTCGTCCAAGTTTATTTGTGTACTATCACTAATATACGTATCACCCTCACTTGTTATATGAAAACCATACAACACGTATGGAACCCTAACTCTACTGGAACGTCTAAGAGGTAATGATTCGTCAATCGGTTCAACCGAAGTTTCCTCCTCGGTTTGAGAGCCAGCGTTAGAGGTTCCTTCATTGCTCAATTCTTGAATATCTTCAAGATCAATTTGCCTCCCACTGTCCCCTTGGCTTATGATTTCTCGCTCTCGGAAAACCCATCTCCTCGCAATGAAGACAACATTGTCACTTGGTCTATAAAAGAGATATCCAAAGGACTTCTGCAGGTAGCCGATGAAAATACACCGCTCACTACGAGGTTTGAGCTTTTCGTGAGTCTCTTGTCTTAAGAAAGCCTCGCAACCCCAAACCTTGACATGTGCTAACAAGGGAGCCTTCCTTGTCCACATCTCGCGGGGTGTTTTGTCAACCTTCTTGGTAGGGACTAAGTTAAGGATATGGGCGGCAGTCTCTAAGGAATACCCCTAGAATGAGGTATGAAGTTAAGCATGACTCATCATGGAACAAACCATGTCTAGCAAGGTTAGATTACGCCTCTCAGCCACACCATTCAACTGTGGTGTCCTAAGTGGTGTCAATTGCGTAATGATTCTGCAATCCTTGAGGTAGTCATGGAATTCAAGACTTAGGTAATCTCCTCCTCAATCGGATCGAATCATCTTGATTTTCCTGCCCAACTGATTCTCTACTTCTTTTTTAAACTCTTTGAACTTTTCAAAGGTTTCTAACTTGTGCTTGATTAAGTAGATATACCCATATCTCTATAACCATCGGTGAAAGTCACATAGAAGCGGTTCGCATCCCTTATGATGGATCTAAAGTGCCCACACACATCGGTGTGTATGAGATCCAATAAACCCTCACCCCTTTCACAAGTACCAGTGAAGGGTGACTTGGTCATCTTTCCAAGTAAACAAGACTCGCACGCGTCATCGTCCTAAAGGTCGAATGACTCCAACACTCCATCCTTTTGGAGTTAGGCTATACGTTTCTTGTTGACATGTCCAAGACGACAATGCCACAAGCATGCTTTATCCATACTATTGGAAGAATCAACACACAACACATCATTTCCTAAGTTATCTACAACCATGACAGTCTCATATATTCCATTACAAGGCAATGCTTCAAAATATAAAACACTATTAAGATAAGCATAAATAGAACCCTTTTCATTATCAAATGAATATCTAAATCCTTGTCTATATAAACCATGAAATGAAATGATGTTTCTTGCCATATCTGGAAAATAGCAACAATTTTTTAAATCTAAACCTAATTCGTTACTAAGCACTAAGGAATAAACTCCAATCTTGGTGACAGGTGATGATCTTCTATTTCCCATGATTAGATTTATCCTTCCACACTCCACATCCCTATTTCTTCTTAGTCCCTGCAAATCAGAACATATGTGAAAGCCACATCCTGTATCACGAACCCAAGAAATAACATGTGATGAATCATTAGATTTAATCGTGTAAATACCTGCAAAGGACGGCTTAATCGTCCCATCCTTGATAGCTTGTAGATATTTTAGGTAGCTTCTTTTCCAATGCCCTATCTTGTAGCAGTGGTGGCACTCTGCCTCCTTAGGGTTAGATTTGGGTTTAGCAGAACCAGCCTTGGTTCCACTAAAAGAGGTACAATCTTGGGAATTTCCCTTGTGGTTGACCTTTGAGGGGGCCTTCCTCTTCTTACCTATCCCTTGCCTTATTGCCAAGACAGGGGCAGCAGCGGGAGTATGAGTTGGTGCAACAAACTTATCCTTAAGATTTCTCTTAGCAGTCCTCAACAAGCCTTGAAGCTTGCTCAAGGTAACCTCTTCCTTATTCATGTTGTAGGTCATGCGGAACTGGTTGTAGCAGGGAGGCAAGGAGTGAAGGATGATGCCAATCGCTAGCTCTTCATCGAAGTTAACATTTAACTTCAGTAGGCAATCAACATATCTCTGCATCTTTTGCAAATGAGCGGTACAGGACTCTCCATTACCCATTTTGGCAGTGACCATTGAAGTGATGATCTCGTACCTTTCTTTCCTAGCGCTTTGGTGGTACCGGTCAGCAAGTCTTGATGCATTTCATAGGAATACATGTCCTCATAGGACTTTTGGAGTTTAACAGTCATGGTTGCTAGCATGATGCAATGGACTTTTGTGGCATCACACTCGCGGGCCTCAAAGACAGCGATCTTATCGGGAAAGGCAGTGTTGATGTTGATTTCCTTCAGCTTCTCATCAAGGACATAGTCTTTGTCCTTGTAGCGAGTGACCATTCGGATATTGTGGATCCAATCATTGAAATTGGACCCATCAAATATCACTCTCCCACACAAATTCACGAGTGAGAACGAGTCGTAGGTGTTCGAGCTAGAGCGTTGTTGTTGACTTTCAATATCAGAAATAGAAAAGGACAAAGTTTGATTAGAAACGAATCCCTAATTAAACACCAAAATGAGAAATTAGGGCTGGGATCCAACAACATTATTTACAAATTAGAAGAGGGATGTCGTAATCTAATATGCAAATAATTTGAAGGTAAGTGAATGACGATTCACTAATTCTCCATCATGAAAAAACAAAAAAAGAGATTAAGTTTTAAATGTATTGAAATCTCCAAGATCTTTTGAGATTCATTGAACTTTTCAATAGCATGTTTAAATCTTGATATGCCCCTCTAGTTTGTGACTAGGATGCCGAGGATCACAAAGCGGGTGTGAATAACCATGCAAATGTACATGGTGCCCTCATTGTTATAGTCACATATTTGATGTGTCGGTTAGCCACACACGCTCCATCGAAATATGACAAACAATGAGTTACCCTTTGCCACCTTTTCTTAGAGCCCAATTAGTGTGTCAGTTAACCACACACGCTCCACTAACGTCTTAGCAAGGGTACAAAGTGTAATTTCATGGAATTTCATCAATTTCACTTTTACCTAAAGTAACTAAGATTTGCAATTTTGAAAAACATTTAGTTACCTTTATAATTCATTATACTTATTAATGAGGAGAGGGCTGCCCTATCCTAGTCTTTTGATTAGAGTAGGGGTCGCGAGAGAGCAGAGCGTACCGCCCTGCCATAGTCGCGAGTCTGTGCTAACAACCTTCTACCAATCAAGGAAATGGTAAGTGAGAGTAGACAACCATTAAACGACCATTTTATAGGTCATAACCTTATAACCCCCCTTCCTATAGATTGGCTTCGTGAATGAGACCTACTAATGGTAAGACTAGCATTTTAAGTTATACATACATACATACATACATACATACATACAAACATACATATATATATATATATATATATATATATATATATATAATATTAATCTTGTAATAATATAGTAGTATAGGGTGAATTTTAAACTTGTAAAATTCTAGGGTTTGAAATTTAAATAATTCAAAATAAAGTTTTAAGCCAAAAAATTTAATTTCAAAACTTGAGGGCAAGTTTTGAACTTTTTCAAAACATGAAGAATCAAATATAAAATAATTAATAATCAAACAATTAATTTAATGATTATCTAGATTTGACCTAATCAATTTCATTTACAAGATAATTCAACAATTAATTCAAATAATCAAATAATTATCATATAAGGAATTTATTATGCAAACAAATGGTAATTATATTTTGTTTTGAAAAGGATAATCATATAAGGAATTTATTATTCAAACAAATGGTAATTATATTCTACCAGACGCTCCAACTCGTCGAGTCCCTTTATGGACTCGTCGAGTTCATCCTACTCGTAGATGTCCACAATGGGACTCGCCGAGTCTGCCAAGCAGATGACCCAAAACTCGATTTTTCAAGCAAGAGCAAAACATATAGCATCAAATACAATAGAAGCCAATCAAGGCTCTGATACCACTGATGGGTTTTACACAAAATAACATCATA